CTGTCTACCTTGGATCTGGTCCTCACTCGGCAAGAGAGTGAGATCAGCGACCTAAGACAGAAGGTTCCTCTCAATAAAGATGGCCACAATGTACTGCTGCTAGAAATATGCATTGCGAATGAAAAGCAGGTGGGGCCGCAATTTCGGGTGAATGAACGTAGATTACTTGAAGCGAAATGCTCAAGCCAGAGCATGGTTCACGCAGGGAACAGAAGCGTCCGTCGATCAACGATGGAGGATAATCCGCGNGATGGGGAAAAACCCACGACCAGCTATTAGAGCTGACGGAGAGGCATGCTGCCTTGCAACCCCGGGGGGCTACCTACAAACCGCAGTGGTGGAAGCCGGTCATCAAACGCGTTGTATGGGAAAGGTAGAATGCATTCGTTCTCTCAGAAGGACATGAACGGTGGCTCCAATATAAGAAGGCGAGAAACTATGCAAACAAGCTAGTAAAACAGGCGAACATGACCTTCGAGGTCAAAATCGCCAAGACAGCGTGCCAGGAACCCAAGAGATACTATGGCTATGTGCAGGTGGGCTGTCGGTCTCAGATTACGAAAAATGTGAGACGCTCAGGTATTTCGAAACCGTCTATTTTATAGACGATTGGTGTGCGGTCCCTCGAGAGTGTTTAGACACCCCTCTGATGGGCGATGTGGAAGTTTCAGTTAGAAGTGTTCTCAATGTCATGAAGGGCTTGAATGTAAACAAGTCCGCTGGCAGCGACGGGCTGCATCCTCTCGCCCCCGCGATAACCGCACTCTACCAGGAGTCCCTAAGGGCTGGTAGAGTACATAGTGCTTGGGCGACTGCCACAGTGGTAGCTATCCACAAGAGTGGAGATAGGAAGCAACCTATTAAATACAGACCCGTAAGTTTGACCAGCGTGCTGTGCAAGGGCTTCAAAACCATTGTTAGGAATACCCTCTGTGAGCACGTCACTCGCCATAGGTTGGCTAGCCCTGCGCAGCACGGCTTTCTCAAAAAGAGGTCGTGTCCGTGAAACCTTCTTTGGTTCTTAGACGAAGCTACAAAGAGGTTAGATGAAGGTCAGAAAGTCTAAGTGTGCTACCTGGACTTCAGGAAAGCTTTAGACTCAGTAAATCACCAGCTCCTGCTAGTAAAACTCAGGGGTTTTGATCTTCCAACAGCTCTGGTTAGATAGTAGAAGCTTTCCTTACCAACCGGACCTATAGAGTTCGGGTGGGAGAAGCTCTGTCAACCGTTGGCAGCGTATCCAGCGGAGTGCCTCAGGGCTCAGTGCTACACCCTATGCTCTTTCTGCTGTTTATAAATGAATTGGTCCAGGAGCTACCGGTTCCTGCCTTCATCTTTGCCGATCACGTAAAACTAGTGAACTCATGACCTGAAGATCAACCGGAAGGTGATCTGGCTAAGGTGGTACAGTGGACACAGAAGTGGAACTTGGAGCTAAACTACACCAAGTGTCACGCTCTAAATACCGTAGGGTTTCCGATTTGCGTGGCTACGACCGTACGTCAAACAATTCACACTTGAGTGACGCGTAGCCAAAACCGATACGAATCACGAAATAAAACACGATTGATCCGTAATTTTCTACGGTACTGAATTAGCGAAATTATTACAAATGTACAATAGTTATAATAATAATGTATATTTCACGAAACCCGTAAAGCATGCACAAGGCATGATCATATGTTCAAAATAATCATATGTACAACGACAGTACAGGTATGTAGATAGTCTACTTGGAAGATGTACATACTGGAGATGGTAGGGGAGCAGAACGAAAACGCTGTGTAAACGGTACACAAAGCGGACGAGGTCACAAACGTAGGTGGGGAGGATGGAAGAAAGTGCTGTATAAGTATATCAATCGAAATTGCAGTAACTGATAACCCGTTATCGAGGGGATTCGGCGTGCGGCTCTAATGGGAGAAGATACGGAGAGACAGATTGTAGGACAATAGACGGGGAAAATGGAGTCACAAGGATAAGGATAAATAAGGAGTACAGCGAATTCATACGTAAGCCGAGATGCCGACGCATGCAGACAAAACGGTGGAAACAGCGGTGCCCAACAACCACTGCCGGGGCCAAATTTTCCATTGTGGGTTTAGACCCCAAGCATTCGACAGGCCCAAGCCAAACGTATCTGTAACAAAACAGTCATACTGAACAGTCTGGGGTAATACTCAGCTGAGAAGGGATGAGGGGAGAGATTGCATATCAAAAATCAATGGGCAAAGTGGAATAATAGCGGTGGTATATGCCTTTACGTATACACGTCTACGTACAGCTAAGTATGTACACGTAAATACGAATATTTAACCGATAAGCATGCAGCAAAATAGACCACGAAGTTTGGCCAAATCACTCGAGGGACAACGAGCCAAGGAATAGTTCTGGTAACGAATAAGTGGTTACAATACTTCTAAGAGTATGTTCCAAGAAGGAATGAGTTCTACGGATGCCGCTTTGAAACTGAATCGGTGTACTGATAGAGGTTCGTTTTAGAACGTGCACAGTGCAAACAGGTTTTGCAAAAGCCACCGTATTTACGTATTGGCCAATGAATTGGCAATATGGTTCGGAGTTGCCGTCGAAAGGTGTCAGTTAGATTCTTGGCAAATCGACGTTTACGTGGGCATACGCTTTATGCTTCGGGACGAATTCTTTATGCGGAGAGAAGCCACTGTGTGCAGTCTCAGCTCGAAATGATGTTGTACTGTTGAAATCGGTTTTTTCACGTTTGGCCTGTCCTATCTGCTGCCTAGCTAATCTCAACTCCTGCTCTAATTCAGAAACCCGCAATCTAAATATATCAATATCCTTAATATCTGAATCTACACTTGAAACAGCACTTACAGGACTAATAGACCTAACATTTTCTAAAGAATCAAAATGACCCTCAGCCCCCCAGTGACTTGCCGGGTTACTTCCTGTTGGGTTCCAGTTTCCTTGGTTCCTCGTCTGGGCATCTTCGAAA